CATGATATTTTGAAAATTCACAAGACCACTATAGTTGGTGTTATTTATTCTCCGTCAGTGTTAGCACCCTCACAATCCTGGAGGACTTCTTCATTCTCAAGAGGCAGCAGTTCCTGCTCCACAAATGGCTCAGCATCCAAGTGGCTGGGCGAGTCAAGAGAGGGCCTTGAACCAACACCTTGGAAATGAAAAGAAAGAAAGTGGCCTGTTGATAAAACTTGAGGTTTTATGGGCAGGGCTAACGCGTGTCAGCAAAAATATCCTCGCAGTAGTGTAAACTTTGATTATCAACACAGACAGGTAGGTCCTCCTGCTCTTCTAGCTCGTGCCATTTGGGAGATCAGTTTAAGCTACACAAGAGGAAGAGTTTTAAATTCCCTATGAGATGTATTTCCTGAGCAAGGGGTATCTGGTTGCAGTGGTACAATTCTGCCGCTAACTCCTCTGAGCATAGACAAGACCAACTCCTGCCCTACCCATCCTCACCTGGAGGGCTAAATCTGCCGAAAAAGTATTAATTCAGAACTATTCACCTGGAGCTACACCTGACCGGTGTTTGCACCAACAACCAAGCCAGAAAAAGGGCAGATGAGGCAGGGAAAGAAAGCAGGTGAAGAGGCACTCTGCAAGTGCTCCACGAGCAGAGCGACTGAGGGCAATGAAAGACATGATGACACCACGTCACTCCACGAACAAGCTCGGGATGAGCAAAGGATGGCCCGCAGTTGGGTTCACAGAGGATGAACCATGTACCAGCAGGTAAGAGCAAGCCAGCAATTAAGAGATTAACGTTCCGGCAGCGAGCATTTTGTCCATCGTAGCTGACAGGGGACTCGGAGACAGATGTCTTACCTGCAGTGACAAATGAACTCACGTTTTGAGGCTAACAGCTTCCCTTGAATTCCTCTCATTCTTCTATACCATAGACTGCTCCTGCTTTACGGACATCTTCTCTTGAGCCACCCCTGCCAGAATGACTGGATTTAATATTATATCACAAAGTGACAGGAGGAGATAGTGATACGTGTCCCCTCTGCATGCCATTTCCCACGAGGCCTAGAAAAGATCATCATGCTTTATTTTACGATCAGCGGGTCATTCATCTATATCTGCTTTGAAGCCACGGTAGACTTTTTGCCAATCACTAATAGAAACTAAATAAACACAGCCAAACAGTGTCATCTATCTGTGTGGTGAGTAATTATGAGGGATTCCTCTTTAAATAGACGCTTAAGTAAATATAGAAATATCACTTTACAAACGCTGGCTCAGGAAGAGATGTTGGGGAATCACAAAGAAGGGACACCTCACTTACATATGTTACATATATAAGTGCAAACGTGACCTTACACTGTTATCAAGTACATAGGAAAGGAATTTATTTTGGCTTTTGTAGTCACGTGTGTGCTTTCTTCAGTGCTCCATACTCCAGATGGAAAAGTAGTTTTCTATTTCCAAAGCTTCATTCATAAAAATGACCTTTTCATTGAATGTTTTCATTCTAGTGTGCAACACTATTTCCCAAGGAGGCTATTGGGGGACTATTTCATGGAATACGTTACGAGTTCGTGCAGTACGATGGAGGGTTATAACGCAGCTGTATGATCCTTCTGTACCCTATATATATGTGTGTTTATTAATGACCCTGTAGCACTGAGCACAAAGCACTGGCTGTTCCGGCTGATGTGAGTTATTTTGCTCTGCCCGCTTCAGTCCTCCCCCCGCGTCACCGGGATGCAGTATTCGGCCTCATCTCTGCTCCTGCAATGTCAGGCTGGGCTGCGGGTCGGGAGGTGGACGTTTCTCAGTGCCATGCGGAGCCGTTTGCTACCTGTAATGCAGTAATTTAAATATTAAGGATGGCTTGGTTTGGGAAGTTCAGCTCTCAGTGAGCAAAACTCAATTAACTGCGGGAAGAGGGAAGAAGGAATCGGGAAGGGGAAGCGATGGTGAAGCAAAAAGGGTTTCAAATGCCTCCGTAATCGCCTGCGGGTTGGACAAGCGGCTGGTGACTCCCATCGACGCCTGCCAGCGTAACACCACGATGGCTCACGTGCCCAGCTGAGCTGGAGAGTTTGACTGAAAGATTTATCTCCCAGACAAATAATGGCGATGGTGGTATAGAGAGAACGGGTGTACATGCAAGGGACAGCGGGGCACAGAGAGCCGCTGCCGGGCAGGAAACCAGGGCACCCAAATCTGGAGGAAGAAGGGGACAGGTCCCTGCCACGGGCAAGTGGACGGATGCACTTAGAGCATCTGGGGTTTGAGCGTTGACTGTTGTTGTATTTCTACCATTTGTTCTTCTTCCCCTCCCCTCCGCAGCCCAATCCCTTCAACCTCCACACACTCACAGACATACACCCCCCCCCCCCACTTCCACCCCCCACGAACCAGAAAGGAAGAAAAATGCAGACCTTTTGCAATATCGCTGCCATTGCAGGAAAATAAGTTGGCAGGGAGGCCGGGAGTTAGGATTCCTGGGACTCGCAGCCACGCGGAGGGAGACAGCAATAGGACACGGGCTTTTGCAAGAGGACATCCCTGCTTCTCCGGCGCTCAACGCCTCTGAGCTCAGCAGGATTACATGGCGGAACGCCATATCATTGTTTGCTTTCTATCAAACGGGGCCATGCCATCGCTTTTTTAGGGAAACGGCTGCTTTCCGACTGCCTGCAGCTGCTCAGCAGGACCTGTGGCCACGCATACGGGCTAGGTACAACCCAAACTGCGGCCAGCAGGTCAAGGGAGGTGATTCTGCCCCTCTACTCCGCTCTGGTGAGACCCCCCCTGGAGCACTGCCTCCAGCTCTGGGGTCCTCAGCATAAGAAAGACACGGACCTGCTGGAGCAGGTCCAGAGGAGGCCACAAAAATGATCAGGGGGCTGGAACACCTCTCCTGTGAGGACAGGCTGAGAGAGTTGGGGTTGTCCAGCCTGGAGAAGAGAAGGGTCCG